CCAACGGCCGCCTGGCGAGCGCCGGCGACAGCCACCAGAAGCTGCCTCGCTGAGACCCAAGATGGCCTCGTGCACCCCTGGATCAAGATACAGCCCCACACGCCTTCGCATTTCGCCCACCTCGTCCGAGCGCGGCGCGCCGCGCAGGCAGGACTGGCACTGCGCGAGGACGCTCCGACGCCGGCGCTGCGTCTCGAGGTGCCTGGGCGACTCGCGGGGCCCACGGCCAAGGCAGGCACGCGGCGCCCTCGACAGCAGCAGAGATCTTCCGCTGACTGCCGGCGCCCCCCAGCCCCCCTAACTCCCGGGCCAGGCCCCCGCCCCCTCGACTTCGCGCCAGGCTGCCAACGCCACGGCAGGGGAAGTCGCAGTCGGTCTACTCGGGAATAGCCGACAAGGCCGATGGAGAACCACCCTCGGCGGCGCTGGAGGCGCCCTCGGGAACGTCGATGACAGAGGCATCGAACGATCCGTCTAGGTCCTCTCTGGCGTCTGCAACCATAACACATGCGGTTCGTCACCCAAGATAAACTGCATGACGCGAACTCCCTTCCCATGCTCGCCGATGAGCTGGCGGGCGTCGGACTTGACACGGCTTAGGTCTATCGGGCCCCGATGGTATCGCCAGATAGCCGAGCTGCGGGCGCAGCCTGCCATGTTGCCCGCAACTTTGCGGCCCCGCATACGTCGCGCGGCGCGCGGCTGCAAGCAGGACAAATGGCCCGCGGCTTCGAATATGATAAGGCAATGCCGGGTTTGCCGTGATCCGCGCGCCCTTCGCTTCCTCCTGGCGGCCAGATATCTGGGCCCCAGAAACCGGCGCGATGTGTTCCAGGTCGCCCTTCACGCGGCCCCAGGCCAAGCCTGCCCGCGCCACGCCGGTGCCCACGTCATCGAAGACAGCACCGATGAAAGCCCAGACGTCCTGCAGCCCGCATGCCGCCTCGGCCCGGCGATGCTTAACTGCCACCTTGCCCCGCGCCGGGTTTACAGACATGACCGCCCCCATGCCGGCCCAGCCCGACACGTTTTGTGCTCGGGAGCCCGTGGATCTTCACCTGCTCGGCAATGCTGAATCGGACCTCCCCTGGGCTCGGAGGCGCGGGTCCAGAGGGCGGGCACGGCTGACGCGTGAGATCGGTGTGGCCCCGATCACACGCTGCAGAGCGATCTCTCGGACGCGCCACTGCAATCGGCTGGGTTGTACTTCGACATCGGCAGGATGTGCAGCACCAGTGCCACGGGCACCGGATGCCTCACCCTCGCCTCGCCCTCCGCGTCTGCTTCGAACGGTGACAGCATGGATGGCTGCCGCCCAAAGACGACCTTGCATGGCGCAGCGCCGCCCACGTGGGCGAGGCGGTTGCCAGCGAAGATAGCGCGCGCCAGCATAGAAACGAAGTTCGCCGTGATACCTCCGCGCTTTAGCTGCTTGTCTGCGGTGTGAAATGCATGTCGTAGTACGGCACCACGTCGCGCGATGAAGCGAGCGTGCCGACGAGGAGCCCGGATGTTCACTTGCATTCCTCGCCTCTTCATTTTTTCCACGAAATATTGTACAATCATCCCGCCCTCGCCGTCCACGATGAATTCTTCCATCGCGCCGACATGTTAAATCCATGAACGTTCGAAGGCGGCACGCAGTTTCGAATCGCGTTTGGTTGTGATCCCCCGGCCACGATGCCACCGCGAGGCGCACCAGGTCAGGTGGATCCCCCAAACAAAAGGCCAAAATCCTTCAAACACAAGCGGGGAAAATCAATGATTCCCTGCTCGCTGTTTCGCGTCCGATGCGCTTGTGAAGTCTCAAGATGGCCCCAAGATGGCCCAAAGCCCAAGAAGGCCCCCCCGACAGCCCCCAAAGCAACCAAGAGCGGCCCGAAAGCGCCCCAAGGGCGCCCCAAGAGCGCCCCAAGAGGCGATTTTAAAAACTCTCGCGGGGAAGAACGAAAATAGTGACTCCCCCTCCTTTGACCGATAGCCTTCAAGATGGTTCCAAGAGGCCCTCCTGGGCTCCACACACACACCAAATGCGAACAGCACCAAAGGACCCAACCATAGGCAGTTGTGAACACCGCAAATGTGAATATCTTCTTCGGTGGTGCCCACGGGCCGCATGAGGGGCGCGCCGACATGTGGCGGGGCACACAACACGAAGGAAAACGAGTGGTCGAATTACGAGAGATCCCCACGGCCCCGCGGATGCGGAAGATCCCCGGCGCGCCCACGGCCGCCAGCCCGCATGCCGCGGGGCGGTCCAGAGCCGCCGCCGGACGAAGACGACGACGGCGACGACGACATCCGCCAGGCCACTCCCCTGCCGCTCGTTGACAGCGACCACAGCGAGAATACCGGAAAGACCCTCGCTGGTGAAATGGAATATCCCGCGAATGCAAAGCAACATACATACGGGGGGGAGCGGGCCTCCTCCTCCTCCTCCTCCTCCTCCTCCGCCTCCTCCTCCTTTTTCCCCAGAGGTCTGGAGCTGTCCCCTGAAACCTTGGGTGTGGCGGACGCATGGTGGCGGTGGCACTGGCGCCTTCGATGGAACCCCCTTTATGGGGCCACGAAACGTGTGAGGGGTGTCCAGAAATTCGCGTGGGGGACGCATGCGGGCGGTGGCACGGGGGCATTCGGTGGAGTTCCTTTATATTGGGCCACGAAACGTGTGAGAGGTGTGCCGAAATTTGTGTGGGAGACGCATGCGGGCGGTAGCACTGGGGCCTTCGGTGGAGCTCCCTATGGGGCCACGAAGCGTGGGAGGACTGTGCCGAAATCGGTGTGGGGGACGCATGCGGGCGGTGGCACTGGGCCTTCGGTGGAGCTACCTGTGAGGCCACGAAACGTGTGAGGAGTGTGCCGAAATGCGGGCGGTGGCACTGGGGCCTTCGGTGGAAATCCATATGGGGCCACTAAACGTGTGAGGGGTGTGCCGAAATGTGTGTGTGTGGGGGGGGGGGGGCGCATGCGAGCGGTGGCACCATATGGGGCCACGAAACGTGTGAGGGGTGTGCCGAAATTCGTGTGGGGAACGCACGCGGGCAGTGGCAGTGGGGCCTTCGGTGGGACTCCCTATGAGGCCACGAAACGTGTGAGGGGTGTGCCGAACTGGGTGTGGGGGACGCATGTAGGCGGTGGCACTGGGGCCTTCGGTGGAGCTCCCTATGGGGCCACGAAACGTGTGAGGGGTGTGCAGATCTGGGTGTGGGGGACGCATGCGGGCGGTGGCACTGGGGCCTTCGGTGGAGCTCCCTTATTGGGCCACGAAACGTGTGAGGGGTGTGCCGAAATTTGTGTGGGAGACGCATGCGGGCGGTAGCACTGGGGCCTTCGGTGGAGCTCCCTATGGGGCCACGAAACGTGTGAGGGATGTGCCGGATTGGGTGTGGGGGACGCATGCGGGCGGTGGCACTGGGGCCTTCGGTGGAGATCCCTATGGGGCCACGAAACGTGTGAGGGGTGTGCCGACATGGGTGATGATGCTGGTGATGATGACGGTCGTGATGATGATGACGATGATGATGACGATGATGATGATGATGATGACGCTGATGGTGATGATGATGATGATGCCGATGATGATGATGATGGCGGGAGGAACGAGGAAGGGGGAGGAGGAGGAGGAGGAGGAGGAGGAGGAGGAGAGGAGGAGGAGAGGAACGCGGGGCGCCGTCTCTTCAAAACGAGGACCCAACACCACAGGATGGTTGGGAATAAAAGGACACCCGCCGCTGGGGACGGCTGCGGGAGCTAGTCGCCCAGAAGGGGAAGGCGCGTAGCAGGAGAGCCGACGCAGTCGGCTTGGCCGGCCGCCGGCCCTCACCGTTGGGGGGCAAAGGAAAGAGGGTTCTCGTCGCCGCCAAAAGCCGCACAGGCGCGACCAACCAAACCGCCGATACCACCACCACCACCACCACCAATGAAGGGCCCAGCAGGGAAGCGAAGGGGCGTCGAGAGGGTCGTGCGCGGCGTCGTCGGGTGGAACCGCCACAACGCCAATGCCATGCCGCCGCCGCTTCGTCGGGGGGGCCGCCAGGTCCACGGTCGTCGGCGGCGTCACCGACGCCAGGGCTCCCAAGAGGGCCTCAAGAGAGCCCCAAGAAGGCCCCAAGAGAGCCCCGAGACGGCCCCAAGAGCGCCCAAGAGCGCCCCAAGAGCGCCCCACGAGGGCCCTGAGAGGCGGTTTGTCTCCTCCTCCTCCTCCTCCTTCCTCCTCCTCCTCCACCTCCTCCTCCTTTTCTTTTTCCCCCTCCTTCTCCCCCCGCCCCCCCGCGGGCCCAAATGGCCCGAAGAGGCACTCCCAGGCCACGCCCTTTGCTCCCAATGATCTCTCTGTTCATCCTGGTTGTCCGCTTCGTTCCACTACATGAATATCTGCGTCCTTTCTCCCGTCAAGTCTCCTGGGAAACGTTTCTGAACGGACTGGTGGTGATACGCTTTTGGTTGGCGGGCGCGCGAAACGGGTCGAACGCCGAGCGTGCTAGGGCGGGCCGCGCCGGTAGCGAAGTGAAAAGCAGTGCAGGCGTCGGCGCGCGAGGAACCGCGATACCGACCGGCGGTCAGCAGCAGAAGAGCGTGCCGAACATGGAGACCACGTGAGCGCAGCAAACTTGGCGAACAGGAAGCACAAGAAGCGACCCAAGAGCACGAGGAGGACACTGGGGGTAATACGCGAAGCGTCAAGAATTATTCAAAAGAGACGTAAGAGCCCCATTCTTGAAAGCACTGCTTGGATAATTATGTTCTCAAGATCGTCATGTTGGTCCTCAGAGTGCCCAAGACGGCCCCAGGGGCCCCTAACAGTAATTACCTCAGGAGAGCCACCAAGCCCCCAAGAGGGGCGCAAGAGGTCGCACGAGAGGGGGAGAGGGGAAGCTCGAAAGGGCATCTTTGGGGCCCTGCCCGCCGAAATGGCCCCCCGAGAAACACTCCGGGCCTCCGTAAGGAAACCCCCGAAAGTTCCCAAGAGGTTACCGGGAGGCTCCAAGGAGGATTCCAAGAGGCCCAATGAGCCTCCAAGAAGCCCCAACAGGCCTTCCAAGAGACCCGGAAAGCCTCTACAGGCCTCTTGTCGACGAGCAGAGACCACTTGAGAAAGACCGGCTTTAAGGGGGGCGGTAGGGAGAGTGGCAGGTCGGCGGGAGAGGAAAACGAGGAGGAAGAGGAGCAGGAAGAGGAGAAGCGGAGGTGGGAGGTGGAGTAATAGGCAGGAGGAGAGGAGTGTGGGAGGTGGGAGGGGAGGCGGAATTGGGATGGGGAGTATTAAATGAGTGAGAGTGGTGGAGCGGGGAGGGCGACAGGAGGTGGTGGGCGGAATGGGAGGTGGGAGGTGGGAGGAACATTGCGTGAGAGAGGGGGATGAGATGGCATAGGGGGGCAGGCGGAGGAGGAAGGGCGGGAGCGGGAAGATGCCTTCCCCCCCTCCCTCCTGCACGATCTCCCGCTGGGAGTCGTCGACCAGGAGGCCCAGCTCGTCTGCCTGCGAAAACAGAGGAGCACAAGAGGGCCCCAGATAAGCGGGGAAAAGGAAAGGAGGCGAACAGAAAACACCAAACGATAATGTTTCTCGAAGGGGGGAAACGAAAAACGGTTCCTCCCTCCTCCCCAGTGGTGCAGACTACTGAATTGTTGTCGTCGGGACTGCACGCAGTTGCTCTCTGGCAGTGGTGCTGGTGCACTGCGCGAGGAGTTTCGCGCCCGGCGAGGTTACCATCAAACGTCTGACCCAGCGCTGCCTCCGACTCTGGGCGACGCGTGGAGCACCTCGACATTTCACCCGAGCGACGATCACAAAAGCGGGTCTCGCGGGAGATGGCACAGCGACCTCACGCGGCGGCTCACGCGGGCGCCGGCACGCGACACTGGAGACGAGGGCGCCTGCGCCCGACCCGACGCGGGCAGCTTTCGAGCCAGTGTCGGCGCGGACGACCTCGTTTTGCTCGGCGTCGCTCGCCCGAGCGTGGCCTGGCTTCTGGCAGGGTCCCGCCGCCTGCCCCCCGTGGGGGGAGGCGATCCTGGGAGGGCGCCGACCGCGCGCCTGCGCCGGTCCTGGCCGGGCCCACCCTGGCCAGGCCCCGCCCTGGGCCTGGGACGATCGGTGCACGCCCCCTGCTGGCCGGGCTGGAAAAAGCGTGTGCGCCGATCCTTCTGATCCCCGGGCTTTGCCCTCTCCCAGCCTTGACGTGAGGCCCCGCCTTCTTTTGCCCTCCCTCTGCCTATCGGAAGAGGCTCGCTCTCGACCCGCAGATCAAGAAGTGCGCCGATCCTGAGCCCAGGATCGGCACGGCCAGGAATGGCGATCAGAAACGGGCCTCCCGCGAGATGGCGTAGCGACCTTCACGCGGCTGCTCTCGCGGGCCGCTGGCGCGGCACGCCCCGGTGGAGGCGAGGGCGCTTACGCGCGACCTTGCGCGGGCAGCTTACGCGCCAAGGTCGGCACAGACGACCCCGTTTTCGTTCGTCGCCCAGTTGGCACCCTCCGAGGTTGAAGGCTCTGTTCCGACTCCTCTCTTCCCTTCCGGAAGCAGGCACCCCTCCCCAAAGTCCCTGCCGGGAGGTCTGGAGGGGGGTCGTGAAGAGTGGGAGGGCCCGTTGGGCCTTTAGATGGCTCCAAGATTGGCCCAGATGTCCAAAGATGGAGGACGTTGGCCTGAAGATGGCCTCCAGCATGCCTCCAGAATGCCTGCAGCATGCCTCCGAGATGCAAAAGGCCCCAAAGATGGCCCCAAGACGAACACGGTCACCCGAGAGACGCCCCAAAGAATCCAAGACAAACACCCACACACAAACAAACAAAGTCACCCACCTACACGACACATGACACACGACACACACGACACGCACAATACACACACACACACACACACACATACACACATACACACTTTTTGGCGGCTCGGCCCCGCGCGCGGCGACGGGGCGTAGGAACTCAGAGGCAGGCAGTGAAGCGCGCGCGTCTACGCCCGGCCGAGCTCAAAGAGAGAGCCAAGGGTCACACACACACACAGTCTTTAGCGGTCGCGGCCTCTCACGCAGCGGCGAGGCGGAGTAAGACAAGTACAGCGGCCGAGACCTAAGCAGTTGCACGCGCGGGCCGGCTCAGCGGGGGGGGGCAACACATAGCCATCCGGGCGTGGATGGCGAGGAGAACGGAGAGCACTGATCGCCAACCGGGGGGGCGTCCCACCCGAGGTCGCGGCGCAGACGAGAAGACACAGCACATAGCCATCGAGGCGTGGATAGCGGAGAGACGAGACAAAGCGCCAACCGACACCCGAGGGGAACGTCCCACATGAGTCGGGAGCGGCCAAGAGGGGGGTGTCCAAGAGGGGGGGGTGCAAATCATGACCGGCGGCATGTGCGCGGCCCAGCGGGGGGGCCAGGGACGCAATGAAATAAGAAGAGGCGCCATGAAATCTGGGGAAATATCATGGCCCACGCCATGATATCCACCCCCCCCCTAGTCATCACCCCCCTCTGTTCCGCCCCCGAATGGGGGCAGCGCCGACGAGGAAACGAGGAGTGCAGGCCCACCATGTGGCCAGGCGGTGGCCACAGACGAGACGAGGCCGGGTGGCAGAATATCACGGGGCGATACCGCCCGGTCCTTCTTGAAGGGGCCCCAGGACACACAAATCAATACACACAAATGCAAAGATTCCCCGTATTTCCCAATATTTTCTGGGTTTCTGTCTTCCCCCCCACTTCCCATATTTTCTCATATTTTCTGGGGAATCGACGATTAATTGTGTCTGTGTGTTTTTGTTCCTCCTGACTTCTCCCGTGAGGACGCGACAGAGCGTGGGAACGAAAGCGCTTCCGGGACGGCGCGGCGGACTCGCCGGGAGGGGGAGGCGCGAGGTCCTCCTCGACCTAGTGTTAAGTCGGGCGTGTCCCCCTACAGGGGCATTTTGGACGGACATGTTTTGAAAATAATACCCAAAAAATGCCCCAAAGATGCCCAACAATAGTCAAAAACTAGTCCCCAGACTATTCTTTTACTATTTTTGCATATTCCCCCTGTAGAGTGACAGGCCCGACCTAAACCCAGTGGCGGCGAGGAGAACGTTGACGGGATGGAGCGGATGTGTAGAGGCTGAGCTGGTGAGCAGAGAATGCGCGGGGATCGATTGACACCTGGCCGCCCGTGTCGGAGCCAGGATCGCACGGTTGCCATACCAGATGGCCCACTCGTGGCAGTGAGCGGCCGTGAAGGCAGCGACGGAGGGGTCGTCGAGCAGGGCGGCCACCCGGTTGGCGAGAGCGAGGCGCCCGGCGTCGGCGGCCGGCGACGCGGCCATGCCGGCCGACGAGGTGGCGATGGCGCGCTGCTGGGGCGGTGGGGCGCCTGCTGGTCTGGATCGGCTCTCCGACCGTGGCCGGTCCCGGTCCGCGGTGCCTCAGGGGGCGGCATCGGTCCGAGGGGCTGCCAGGGCCGTGGCGCGCCGCTGGAGTCTGGCACCCCAGCCAGAGGCAGAGGGCCACGAGCGGGGGTCTCTGGGAAGACCCGGGTCTCAGAGCCGAGCCCCGAGGATCCGAACGCATTCGGAGGCGAGGGGAGTCACCCTGACCCTGGCAGCCACGGGGCCGCGCCAGGGGAGAGGGTAGCAGAAGCATGGGGCGAGTCGCGGCGGGGGTCGCGTCCCCGGGCCCGGCGGGGGGACGGCCCAGAGGGGGGTCGCTTGGAGCTGGCTCCCTCCAGCTCGCGCTCCCTGGATGGGAGGGCGCGCTGCCGTCGCGGGGGCAAGCGTTTCGTAGGCGGAGGTCGGGAGCACAGAACTTGGCGAGGTGGACAGCGTACTGGGGTGGCCCTACAACCAACGGGCGACCTTGACGGTTTCCTCGGATGAGGTGGCCACCGATTCGGCTCGCGGGCCGGGAGCAGCCTCGCGCGAGGGCGGGGCGCCGATGGCGGCGGGGAAGCGCAGGGAGAGGGGCGCGGACTGGTCCACCCACGCCACCCGGTGTCTGGTCGCGGTGGGGCTGCCCACAGCCGCGACACGCCGAGCGCGTTGGGGGCGGTGGCGCCCCACATCGGGCGCCGCAGGGCGGGCCTGTCTTGCTCGCTCACCAAGCGCTGGGCGAGGTCGCGACGCTGGGGGAGCGGCAGGTGGTGCCAGCCAACGAGGCGCCCATCATCCCATCCGTCCACCACGGCTTGGGTGAGCTTGGGATCGAGGGGCCAGGGGCCGGTGGTGTGCAGGACGGTAGTGCCCCGGGGGGGATGAGTTGGACGGACTCCCTCCAGAGGTCAGGCGACCCTGCCCTCTGCCTGACGCCCTGGAGACGCGCGAGCAGTTGGGCGGTGTGGGGATCGGAGCCGCGAGGCTGACCCGAGGCAGGGATGAACTGCGCGGGCAGCGGTAGGCTAGCCCCAGGAAGGCGTCGACCTGCTCGCCAGTGCAGCGCGAGGGGTCCGCCTGGGTGATGTGGAACCGCTGGAGGTGGTCGCGCAAGAACCTGGCCTGGCGGAAGCCGAGCTGCACGTAGGCCTCGACGACCTGGGCCTTCGTGCGGCGGTCCTGCATAGGCGTCTGAGCGATCTCGGCGAAAGGGGCCAGGCTGCGCTGGGGGGGGGGGCCGCCGTCGAGATCCGCAGGCCGACGCCTGTGGCTCCCCGCGGGGTGGGCGCTGGGCTCGTCGGAGGGGCGGCCTGGTCGGTGGGGTCGTCGGGAGGCGGGGAGGCCGCATGTGGTCGCCGGCGGCCGCGGTTCCAGCCCCTCCCGGCATCGAGCGGGATCGAAAGATTGCAAAAAAACGAAGGATTGCAAAAAAAACCCGTTTGAACGAAGGATTGCACGAAGGATTGCAATCCTAGGTTTTTTTGCAGTCCTTCGTTCCAGCCCCTCCCGGCATCGAGCGGGAGCTGCGTCCCCGCCCGGCCTCCAGGGGGCAGCCCACGCCGGAGGCATGCCTGGAGGCAGGGGCCTCGCCGTCGGAGAGCCGTCGTCACCCGTCCCCCGCCGTGGCTCCCTTCCGGGGGGGGGCCGAGCGCGAGGCAAACATCCAGCAGGCTCTGAAGCAACTCGATGGGGGTGCCTCGCGCTGAGAGAGGAGCAGGATACCCTCGCGCTGGACTGCGACATCAACGGTAGGGTACCCCGACGGGGGTGCCTCGCTCGAGGGAGAGGACGCCGGGCGGCCGCAGGTCTTCGGGCGGACGATCGCCCAGCTGCTCGCGGAGGTAGCGGCGCCACCGCTGGAGCATAGGGCGGGGGCAATCGCCTACGCCGTCACACACACACACACACACACATACACACACACACACACATACACACACACACACTTTTTTCGTCGGCGGCCAGGCAGAGTAGCTGCGATGGCGGAGAGCTAATATAGACACACATCTACTCTCTCTCTCTCTCTCTCTCTCTCTCACGCACACACACACTCAGAAACACGCACACGCACACGCACGCACGCACGCACGCACGCACGCACGCAAGCACGCACGCACGCACGCACACGCACACATACACACACACACACAAACACACACACACACACACGCGCACGCACGCACGCACGCACGCACGCACGCACGCACGCACGCACAGGCGCACGCACGCACGCACGCACGCACGCACGCACACACACACACACACTAGCACACACTGACACACAAACACAAACACACAAATATACCTATATGTACATATATACACACAACCCACACACACACACACACGCACAAGAAAACTGTTCTTCATTGATGCCTACACTCTCGTTACTTCGCTTCCGATCTGCGAGGCCCACAGACACACACCACCGCTCGCGGCAACAGCGCGACCGCCCCCAGGGGCGGACGCTGCGTGCCTGCGCCAAACGAATTGGTCGAGAATAGTTGCTGCCAAGCGCTCCACTGCCTGCCACCCAGGGGTAGTGTATTAAAAACGACGGGCACCCCCCCCCCAAGAATTGTAGACACCAACCCGACATATACACCATGCGCTGTTTGTGTACGTAGATCCGTGCGCCCAAATCACGCTACGCAGATGGCATGCGATCATCGCGGGATGTGACACACCTTGCGACACACTGTCCTGGAGGTTAATTGGGTTATTAACCCAATTAACCTCCAGGACAAAGGAACAGCCCGCGGAAATGGTGTAGATCTGTGGGTCTCAGACGATTGGCTTCTTTCGAGGCCTCAAGATGGCCACAGAAGGAGGCCAGAAGGGCCCAAGAGGGCCCTGAAGGCCCCCAGGAGCGCTCCAAGAGATCCCCGGGAGAGCTCCAAGAGACTATTCTTCAGCCTCCACAGACACTAGCTGGCATGTACATACCACATTTGGCACCTCGCCCTGGATGATCGTCACAAACACCCGTGTGCCTCAGGGAAACACCGGCTCAGAACCAACTCCCTACGACACAGAGCCACCGAATCTGATTTTCCGCGCCGAACATCGCCTCGATAGTACGCGACAAACCTCCGGCAAAGCGCCAGCAAAAAAACTGAACACCACAAACCACCCGAGAGACATACCACCACGTTTTTAGATAGCCATAGCAGAACATGTCAAGCACGACTGACACACGCGGCGAATGTGTTGACTTTCACCTACGAGACCTGCGAAAGATTAGCGAACCCTCTGCCCAGAGCTCAATGTATGCAGCACAGATGGTCTCAGCAGCAAGAACTGTGACAAAGGAGGTCAGATGCCCGCGCAAAAGCACAATTGGCGCCTCATCCTGACTCTTCTAGACAACGCAAAGCAAGCGTGACAAGTGACCAAATACTGCAATACCACGCCATGAGCGTCAGCAGCACCACCTCTACCATGACAATGACCATCGCTGCACCAAGAGCATGACCGTCGTTATCAACATCGCCATGGCCGCCATGGTCGTCACAACTGAGATCATCGTCGCCGTACGCGTCGCCATCGCAGTTCCAGTGCCATTACCATCGCCATCACCATGAACGTGTTCTGGCAGCGGCATCGCGCTCGACGTCCACATGATCATCATCGTAATCGTAATCACCGCTCCTTTCCAACTGTATTTGCCGCTGCTGCCTCGGCGATGCGAGACTCCATCGTCCTGCACCTCTCCTCCAAGGACGCCTCGTCGGAATCCATGGCCTCCCGAGTGGAGTGACGGCGAAGAGAGGGAGATGTTTTGCGGCGCGCGCCTGCGAACCGCACACACCTCGCTGGCTTGACACCTGGACCAAGTGAAAGTTCGATCCCACCCCCTGGGTGAGCCACAGCGCGGACACAGCCGGTCGGCGAAGGCCCTGCCTGGGCCTCGGCAGGCCCTCCCGCTGGCGGTGGGTCAAAGGGGGAGCGGTGGAAAGACGACGACGAAACGGGAGTGAGGGAACGTGACGGTGGGCCTCAGCCTCCAACCTACCGTCATGGGGCGATCTTAGCGGCCTCGTGAGACATGTTGGAGGCCCCTGGGCTGGTCCACAAGGCCACGCTCTGTCGAAAACATGTGTGCCTGCATGGCTTTATCGTTCTCGACGCCTCGGTCCTGGGCGCGTCTAAGACGGCCCGATACGCCTCCTGGATCGCCATAAGATGGCCCCCCAAGGCCAGCAAGAGGGGCTAAAGAGGCTCCCAAGACAGGCCCCACGAGGGACCCTAGAGGGGGAGCACGGACTGACAGTTGGAGCCATCCACCTCCAAACGAGCCCCAAGACCGCCTCCAGGCCCCCAAGGAGCACCCAAGAGGCCCCCGAGAGGCCTCCGAGAGGTTCCCAGGAGGCCACAAGGGGCCCCCAAGACTTGAGGCCCTCGAGACGCACCAAAGCGGCCCCAACCAGGCCCCCAACAAGGCCCCCAACGAGGCCCCCGACGAGGCCCCCAAGAGGCCTTCCAAGTGACACCCAGATGGCTCTCAGAGGCCCCTGGTCAACGACACAGGCACGGTCTGCTGCTATTACTGCTGCTGCTGCTGCTGCCGCCGCCGCCGCCGCTGCTGCTGCTGCTGCTGCTGCTGCTTCTGAACTGTACCAATGTAATCCTGCGCTCCTTATCCTGATGCCCCGCCGCTCTCACTAAAGGGGGATGGGAGTACAGAACACGACAGGAGGGCGGAAGGAACTATGCGAGTTGAAGGTCGGAGAAGGGAATCAGGAAAACGATGCTGGAAAGCAGGAGGGAGAAGGCACGGGAGACAGTAGAGACAATCAGCAAGAGGCAACATATCCGCCGCCCCCCCTTTGCCAGGGGGTGTGAAAAGGCGAGTGAGATGATTGGCTGTCACCCCTCCCTCTTTCCCCCTCCCCTGGTTTTCAAAACCCGTTAGAAAGGGGGGGCTGGTGGCGGGGGATGGGGGGGGCGAGTTCCTCAACGCATCACGGGGGCCCTCGGAGCCTCAAAATCAACCCTCCGTGGCCGCCAAAATGCGACGTCCAAGGGGAGACTGGCGCGTGCAGCGGTAGAAGATCAACAACAAGCACAGATATACACTTTCGTAAGTCCGCGCGGTTTCCTTGGACAAAAACTGAACCACCCGCGGCGCCGGCTGAAGACCCCCAAGAAATCCGCACGGACCTCCGTAAGCTTGTGTTTGTGCAGCCGTTGATCCTCGAGTCCATTCGTAGACTGGCGCCTGTGACAGGTAAGACAAGCGAGTCACCTTCCCTTGCTCTGACCTTTGGCAAACGCTCTCGGCCGAACAAAACCCGAACAGACATTCCCACACCCCTCCTCACTCCTCGTTCCTCCTCATTCCTCCTCCTCCCCCCATCCCCCTCTCCACGTATTCCTCCTCCCCCTCCTCGTCCTCCATCCCTCCGTCCTTCGATCCAATCCCTCCCCTCCTGCCTACCCAGGGCTTCTCCGGAGGCCCACGGGAGACCCAGAAAACAACAAAATGTAGATCGTCATTATTCCTCCTCCTCCCTCACCTCCTCCTCCTCCTCCTCCTCCTCCTCCTCCTCCTCCTCTTCTTCTTCTTCTTCTTCTGCTTCTTCTTCTTCTTCTTCTTTCTTCTTCCTCTTCTCCTTCCTCCTCCTCCTCTCCTCCTCCTCCTCCTCCTCCTCTCCTCTCATCATCATCATCATCATCATCATCATCATCATCATCATCATCATCATCATCATCATCATCATCATCATCATCATCATCATCATCATCATCATCATCATCATCATCATCATCATCATCATCATCATCCGCCGCCTCCTCCTAACCACTCCTAACCACCACCAACATACACCACCAAAATCGTCATCATACTCACATTCAAGAAAAAGCATCCTCATCATCATCATCAGCATCATCATCAGCAGCAGCATCATCACCATCAACATCATCATGACCAACACCATCACCACCACCATCATCACCATCAGCATCGTCCTCATCATCAGAATCAGCACCAGTACCAGCATCAGCATCATGATCAGCATCAGCATCATCACCATCTTCATCACAATCGTCCTCCTCATCATCATCATCATAATCAGTCTCTGCGTCGCCACCAGCCGCATCATCATAAGAATAATCGCCGTCGTCGATATAGTCGTCGCCATCGTGATCGTGATAGCGATCTTCATCCTCATCATCATCATCAGCATCATCAGAATCATCGTCGTCATTAGCAGCATCATCAGTATCACCATCATGTGCATCATCAGTGTCATCTGCAGGATCATCATCGTATCGGCATCGTCACCATCATCGACAACACACACACACCATGGTCGTCATCATAAGCAGCATCCCCATCACCATGATCGCGTCTCGCCGTCGTCATCAGCAACAGCATCAGCATTACCACCACCACCATCATCAGAAGCAGAAGCATCGTCATCATCATCAGCAGCATCATCATCGTCACATCATCATCAACAGCAGCACCTGCATCATCATAACCACCACTACCATCAGCATCATCCTAATCAACATCAGTATCATCATCAGCATCAGCATCATCATCGTCGTCATCGTCAGTGACATCATCATCATCATCATCATCATCATCATCATCATCATCATCATCATCATCATCATCATCGTCATCGTCATCATCATCATCATAATCATCATCATCCTCAGCATCAGCATCATCTTCATCATCAGCATCAGCACCATCATCATCTTCGGAAGTATCATCATCAATGTCCTCATCGCATGATAATCATCATCGTCGTCGTCATCGTCATCAACATCAACAACAGCCATACCTCATAGTCGTTGTCCTAACCACCATCCCGCATCACCATGATCACGTCTCGGCGTCGTCATCACCAGCAGCATCATCATTACCACCACCATCATCCACAGCATCATCATCGTCGTCATCATCAGCAGCACCTGCATCATCATCATCATCATCATCATCATCATCATCATCATCGTCATCATCACCGAACCCATCATCAATGTCATCATCACCATCGTCGCCATCGTCATCGTCAGCGGCACCATCATGGTCATCATAAGCAACATCATCATCATCATCATCATCATCATCATCATCATCATCAGCACCATCATCATCATCATCATCATTTCCACCACCATCATCCTCATCACCACCACCATCATTATCATCATCATCATCAGCATCATCATCAGCATCATCACAAGCAGCAGCAGCAGCATCAACATCGTCATCATCAGCGTCCCTCGTCGCCGCCGTCGCCGTCGTCGTCTCGTCGTGGACGCTGCCGCGCGTCGTCGCCGTCGTCGTCGTAGTCGATCGTCGTCGTCGCCGCCGTCGCCGTCGTCGATCGGGCGGCCACCAGGTTGTTGCCACCCGCCCCCTCCACGTGGAGGTGGCCTGGACCCACCTATGTAGCCCCCTCGGCCTTGCTGTTGCTGGGGGGGGTCATCACCCTTCCCCCCGATGATCCTTGGTGTTTCGGTGGTGCTGGCTCTGGTAGTGTGATCCTTGGTTATGTTTCTCGGTCGTCGGCCCTCGATTGTATCTCGTTCTGCGTGAACCGTGGCCTGCTATGCTTGGTTCGCCCAATACGCGACATCATCCCTGACTGCGACGTCTACATCGCATTCGGGTGGAAGTCGGTGAGGGCGAAAGGAAAGTGTAGAGGTGCGGGGTCAAGGGCCCACGCGTAGCGCATCGTTACGTTGGTGCCGTGGCCTGCTCGCCGTATCGCTTGGCGCGGCAGCTCGCATCGACGGTGAAAGCACCCACGAGAAGGGCAGCTTGGTAGCTTCGTGTGGGCCACTGCTCTGCGCTGGGCGCTGCCCCACTCCCCCCACAACGTCTCTGAGCGCGCGGCCGCACCCGACCCATCCCAATTGGACAAGCCCCCCCTGTTCTGGGGTGGACCACAGGCCAGGGGCACAGCCGTGAGGTGTGTCAGGCCTCCCCTTGAGCAGGGGCAAACAACAAGTCGCTCTGCCCCGTCCAAATTGGCTGTCTTTCCCTGTCCAGGGGTGAACGATAGACCAGGGACAGGCCTCCTTCGAGCACGGCCTCCCCTCGAGAGGTGAACGAACTACAGACCAGAGAAGCAGCGTGGCGTCTGCGGCGCGGCCGCTTCAACTCCGGGCCTGAGGGTCAGGTCGCTACTGGAGGTCAGGGTGGCAGAAAGCATGCTGCTCCTTCCCACCAGCTGTTGAGTGTGGCTAATGTACGCTGCGCCCGTCCTATGGAAGGGGGATCACCGTCATCATTGACATCATCATCCTCATCATCATCATCATCACCATCATCATCAGCAGCAGCAGCAGCATCAGCAGCAGCCTCAGCATCAGCATCATCAGCAGCATCATCATCACTATCATCAGTATCATCATCAGCAGCATCATCATCAGCATCATCAGCATCATCAGTATCATCATCAACATCATCAGCATCATCAGTATCATCATCTGCATACTCATCATTATCAGCACCTGCATCATCAGCCTCATCAGCATCTGCATCATCAGCATCATCATCATCATCAGCATCATCATCATCATCATCAGCATCAGCATCAGCCTCAGCATCCTCATCATCATCAGCATCATCAGCATCATCAGCATCATCAGTACCATCAGCAGCAGCATCATCAGCATCATCAGCATCATCAGCATCATCATCATCAGCAGCAGCATCACCATCATCATCATCAACATCGGCATCATCATCATAATCGTCATCATAATCATAAGTAGTATGCTCCTCCTCATCCGCCTCCTCATCGTCATCCTCATCATCGTCGTCGTTATCCTCATCAACGTCCGCATCGTCATCATCATCACAATCATCATCACCAATGTCGTCATCATCATCATCATCATCATCATCATCATCATCAGCATCGTCATCGCTATCGTCATCGTCATCGCCCTCGTCACCATCAGCAGCATCAGGATCATAAGCATCATCAGCAGCAGCAGTAGCAGCAGCAGCAGCAGCAAGAGCCTCATCAGCATCCAAATCAACGACTTCCTCAACCTCTTCTTGGGACTCAGTATCGTCGTCGTCAGCATCATCATCATCATCATCAGCATCAGCATCATCATCATCATCATCATCATCATCATCTCCACCACCACCACCAGTGTTGTCATCAGCATCATCAGCATCATCAGCATCATCAGCATCATAATCACAATCATCACAATCACCATACCACCATCATCATCATCGTCATCATCATCAGCATCATCATCAGCATCATCATCCTTATCATCAGTAGCATCATCATGAGCAGCAGCAGCAGCATTATCAGCAGCACTACCTTCGACAGCAGCACCATCGTCACCAGCATCCTCATCCTCAGCCTCAGACTCATCGCCATCGTCATCAGCAGCATCGGCCTCAGCATCAGAATCATCCTTACCGTGGCCGTCATCATCACCACCACCATCGCCGTCATCGCCTCCGCCTCCCTCCTTCCGGAACCTTCTCCTCCTCCTCCATCCCCCCATTCCTCCATTCCTCCTCCTTATCCATTCCTCCTCCATTCCTCCTCCATTCCTCCTCCTCCATTTCTCCTCCTCCTCCTCCTCCTCCTCCTCCTCCTCCTCCTCCTCCTCCGCCTCCCCCTCCTCCTCCTCCTCCTCCTCCTCCTCCTCCTCCTCCCTCCTCCTCCTCCTCCTCCTCCTCCTCCTCCTCCTCCTCCTCCTCCTCCTCCTCCCCCCCTCCCTCCTCCCGGAACCCTCCCCCCCTCCCCAAAGCCTGTCTCAGGCCCACGACGCAGTTGCCGGCCTCGCCCGGGCGCGGCCACCGGCCGCGGGCAGGTCGGCAGGGCGGCGTGGCACGGCGGCGACGGCGGAGAACGGACCGACCCGCTGGGGCAGGAGGGGGAGGAGGAGGAGGAGGAGGAGGAGGAGGAGGAGGAGGAGGAGGAGGAGGAGGAGGAGGAGGAGGGCACCCCATGTCCAGGGGGGAAGGGGGGGCATCGAGGCGAGAAGGGGGCAGGGGACAGGGCAGGGGATCGAAGGGGGGGGCAGGGAAGGGGATCGGGGAGGGGAGGGAGGGAATCGAGGACGGGGTCGACGAGAATCGAAGACTGAGAGCGAAAGGGGATCGAGGAGGGAAGGGAGGGGACCGAGGAGAGAGGAAGGGGCAGATGATCGAGGAGGATCGAGGAGGATCGAGGAGGATCGAGGAGGATCGAGGATCGACGATGTCGAGAATGGAGGCGCTAAGCGTGCTCGACCTTCTTGGGCCTCTGGAGGCCTCTAGAGGCATCTGCAGGAATCCTGGAGCCTCTGGAGACCTCCATGGACCTCCGATCTCTGGAGTCCTTTGGAGACGTCCTCGGACGCCGTGATGTTGTTCAGAACCGGGCGTCTGACCCCAACGTCAGTCTCTGAGGGGCCACCTCGAGCGACCGGAACGTCGAAGAGATCATGAAAATGAAAAGCTGGCTCTGGGGAAGGACCATTTGCTCGAAAAAACATCACGAACCACATTCCAAAAACTCAAAAATCGGCCCCCGGACTCGAGCGACGGGAACGTCGAAAAAACAGTGAAAATAAAAAGCTGGCTCTGGGGAAGGACCATTTGCTCGAAGAACCAAATGTTGAAAACATCACGACGTCACAATCCAGAAACTCAAAGATCGACCCCCGGACTCAGACGACGGGAACGTCGAAGAAACAATGAAAATGAAAAGCTGGCTCTGGGGAAGGACCATTTGCTCGAAGATCCACATGTTGAAAACATCACGACGTCACATTCCAGAAACTCAGAGATCGACCCCCGGACATGTCGCTGTGATGCGTGGCCATGCTTTAGAGGCGGATCCAACCGTGGCCACGAGGGCGGCCCAGGAGCCCCAAGGCCCCCAACAAACAAACAAACAAAAGCACCGACAAACACCGATAGCCTCGATCCTCGACTCGAGAATCGCAAAAAAGAGAACGGAGCATGGAGAAGTACCCGAGGGGGAAACGGTAGGAGGGCACGGGCTCGTGGGGGGAAACATCGAACTGGAATCAGCGCTAAATGGCCGACAGATCGGCGATGGGCGCCAGATAGCGAATCCGCCCGATCCTGAGCGGGGTGGGCTGTCGGGCCCATCTCGGTGATGGATGGGCGATTGTGGTCGATGCAGCCCCCCTGAACCCCAGTCATCGTGCTACCAGAAGGACTGCTGGGCAAGGAACGACGGGGCTTTTTCTGGCAACGGCAAGCCTCGACCACGAATGGGCCTCCCTGATCTAAGGAACGACCCCCAAGTGGTCATTTGTTTCTCTCTCGTTCTCCTTCAGGCAGGTTGTGACGCCACCCTCCTGCTCACGCTCACGCCACGGAAAGTCGTTCCTTTGGAATCCCTGGTAACGATCACGCCATGGAAAATCGCTCCTTTGGAGTCCCTGGTAACGATCACGCCATGGAAAACGTGTGGAGGATGAGGAGGAGGAGGAGGACGAGGAGGAGGAGCAGGAGGAGGAGGAGGGGGAGGAGGATCTAAGGAACGACCTCCAAGTGGTCATTATTTCAACGTCTTGACCGAACCCCCCTCTCCAGTCGACCGCATGGCCCTGGCTGCCCGGCGGCGGCGGGGTGGCGGCCGCGGCCTTCAGGGCGGCGTCCAGCGCCGCGGCCATCCGGGCGCGACCCTGCGCAGCTCCGTCCCTGCCCTCTCGCCGTTGCCTCCTCCTCCTCCTCCTCCTCCTCCTCCTCCTCCTCCTCCTCGTCTTCCTCCTCCTCCTCCTCCTCATCCTCGACGGCCTCCTCCTCCTCCTCCTCCTCCTCCTCCTCCTCCTTTTCCTGGGTCCTCCTTTTCCTGGGTCCTCCTTTTCCTGGGTCGCCCTCCTGCCTCTCGCCGTTGCCTGATCCTCGCCATCGCTCGGACGTCCATTCCCTGGGTTGTTTTCGGTTTCGCGCGAGGTTTTTTCGCAGGATGATCCAGGATGCTCCTCGATGGTCCTCGCCGAAGGAAACATGCACACGTCCGAGCGATGCCAAGGATCCTGTACCTCCTCTTGCTCCTCATCCTCCTCGGCTCAAGGATCGAACCGAACCCCCTACGAAAATACTGACTGTGGTTGGTGGCGGTGCTTCTTTGTTTGTTGGTGTCGGCGTGGTTTCCAAAGTGTCCCCCACCCATCGTTTTCCCCCTTAATCTCTGACTGCTTCCCGCAACCCTGCGGACCTCCCAAGAATCCTTAGTGAGAACTCCTCGAGTGCGAGATACTTAGAAGCATTGTCTTTAGCAATACTTCATTCATAAGGATGCCTTTTTGTATCAAGGCATCCTTAAAAAAGATCCCTTCACTGAGGGATCCTGAATGAGGATGGCTTTGGTAAACGTTCGCTGGTAAGGACCACTTTTCACGAGGAATCCTCAGTGTGAAAGATCGCGCCGGTGGAACACTCCTTACTGAAAGGGGGGCCCCAGCTTCAAGCTATTCCCCCCCTCCCTTGGAAGAAGGAGGGGGGGAAATTCCGAGGGCACCCCCCCGTCCCCCCCTCTGGGGGGCATTTTTCGTTGGGGGCCCCAGCTAAAGCGAGGGGGGGGTGGAAGCTACCCCCCCGTCGCCCCCACTTCGGGGCCCAGGGTCCACCCGATCTCCCCTTTCCCAAGGGGGGGGGGAGGCTTCCGAAGCGACTTCCCACCCCTCCCTTTTGTTTGGATGTTGTAGCTGGGGGTCCCTGACCAAGGGAGAGCAGAGCTGGTGAGCAGCGGCACGCACAAAGTACAACTGCTGGTGAACACTGTCATCGACGTAGGGGCTGCCTACGGTTTAGAGCTGAACTGTGACAAAACAGTGGTTCAGCAAATCAAGCACAATGGGTGCCTGTTTGATCCATCTGGGAACCCTGTCAAAACAGTGGAGCAAACAGTTTACATTGAGGGTCTCATCACTGCAGGCTCGTCCGCAAAAGCAGAACTTACTAGAAGAATTAGGGAAGCGAAAGGGATTTTCAAAGCTATGCAACAATCTTGGTCACACGCGAACATATCCAGAAAGAGAAAGCTAGAGCACAACAACGCAATCGTGTTGCCAAAACGGAGGTACAATCTCGAATCTGTATGTTGCAGGCTGACAGACGACGTCTGGATGATTTCCACGCGAGCTGCCTGAGAAAAATCCTATCCATTACATCCTCGCTCATCTCGAGAATCTCGAATGTGGAGGTCCTGGAAAAGCATCCCAGCCGCCTCTGAGCTCAATTATAATCGACAGGCGAACGAATATGTACAATAACATGTGCGCCCTGTCTCCTGACCGTTCGCTTAGGATCCTGACGTACATGACAGGTTCGCGTGAACCCAGGACTTGGGAACTCAACCGCAGGCCCGGGAGCCCCAAACAACACTGGGATACTTTCGTGCGCGAGTGCATGGAAGATAGGTGGATCTGAACTGGCATCCCCTCCTCCTCTCGTTCCGTACCTCCTCCCCGTCCTCCTCCACCTCCAACCAACTGTGACGGCACAGATTTGGAATGTCTCGTGTTTTCCAAGGTGCGCATTTGGCGCGTCTGTACCCTTGCGCTCTTGCACGCGTTTGGCGCGTTTGCGCACGACGTCCCAATGCGAAACTCAAAGCAGTTTTGCCGATGCGCCGCGTAGCCGCCTGGTTTCTGTGTGTGCGCGTCCCCGAAGCTACGATTCCGAGTAAAGTATACAATGATCGCGTCTCCGAAGCCACGATCTCTCGCCAATCACACCGTATTCACGTCGCGGAGACGACGGCCCCTCATAAATGACGCCGTACTCGCGCCCCCAAGGCCACGATCCCTCGAACATGATGACATCTTCGCGCCGAAACCAAGAGATCGAATGACGTACGCCGTACTCGCGCCCCCGAAGCAACAATTCATGAAATTGAGCCATATTCGCCCCCCCCCCGAAACCGCGGCGCTTTGCAAAGTACGCCGAGGGACCCAAAAACCCTCCAAGCCGCGCGTGGTTTTGCCCAGCGTGGCCTCAAGAAGCCCAGAGTCGTCCCAAGAGGGCCCCCGATACAAAGCATGACGGGCAGATCAAAAAAACAAAACAAGGATCAACAAGACCATCTGAATCTCACGTTGTCTTGATGAGTACCCGTCGTTTTCGAGCGAGGCTTCGGTACCGCTTCACGGCGGGGCCCAGGCATCCCAATTTAAATCTCGCAAGCTCCATTGTGGTATAGAGGGGGCCAGCGGCTGAAGGCGAAACCCCTTTACGGATACGTTACGCAGCATACTCGGCGCGATTTATATGGCGCAATCAGTGTTGTGCCATCCACGTTGGCCAATGTATGGTGAATCGATGTGGTGCAGTATAAGTTGTGCGATCTGCGATGTGCAATCTACGTGGAGCCATACAACTGGTGCAAATCTACGCGGGGCCATAAACGTTGTGCGATCTGCGTTGTGTAATATGTTGTGCGAATTATATGTTGCTGCATATGGTGTGCAACATATGTTGTGCATGTTATTTCGTGCAATACCCGTGGTGCAAATTTCACTGGAACAAATGTGGTGGTGCACGATCGTGGATATATTTATATATATAGAGAAATGTGCATGTATGTATCGATTAGTTCACTTGTATATATGATATGATCACACACATACAGGCATACGGACAGACATCTATTTATCCATCCATCCATACCCATCCATACACATGCATACATACATACACATGCAGACATACAGCTATACATGCTGACATACACACATGATTGTCCGTATGAAGGTCAGTACGTGTGTACATCAAGGAAAGCAATGCAATGAAATCCAAAACAACGCACATCAACACAAAGCAAAACGTAAAAGCAACGCGAGCCGTGCGTGCAGCGCGATGCCATGCAACGCATGTCAGGGAGTAACACTTCACGGGCGGTGACAGGACGGCAACGGGGCGGCGACGGCGGCCACATAGCCGCCAGATCGACGACACAGCCCAGACAGGCGACGAAGCGGCGACAGGGCGGCAACGGCGACCAAACTGCCGCCAGACCGAAGATACGGCACACCTCGTGAGAACAGATGTCAAGAACCCTCAGCACAAGCACTCCGGGAAACCAAACATATAGACAGACCGACAGACAGAAAGACAAACGAACGGACGGACGGACATATAGACAGAAGTACTGACAAACGTAGACAAACTGACAGACGGACAGACTCACAGACAGACAGACAGACAGACAGACAGACAGACAGACAAACAGACAGACAGACAGACAGACAGACACAGACAGACAGACGCTCGGCCTCCCACGTCACCGGGGCGCCCCCCAGCCACGTCTCGAGGGCGCGCCCCAACCGCGCCTAGGAAACATGGGGCATGACGCGGCATGACGCGGAGAAGAGTTGGCGCGCCGCCGAGCGCCCAGGCAGAGGAGGAGGAGGAGGAGGAGGAGGAGGAGGAGGAGGAGGAGAGGGCGGAAGCGCCGCCCCGCGACGGCCGCGGCCGCAGCGCGGCCCAAACCGCCGCCGGCGGCGCAAGGCCTGGCGGGCCGCTCCAGCGTCGGGCCCTGGCCCGCAGCCCGCGTCAGCTTCTGCAGGCGCGGCATCTCGTCGCCCTCTGGGGTGGCGGCGCAAGCCCGCGGCAGAGCGGCGGTGCAGCCCCCCGCGTCGCCGCGGCGCGCCGGCCTGCTGTTTCGCCGTCGCCAGCTGTCGGGGGGGGGCCAGCGCGGGCCCGCAGGGGCGCGCGGCCGGCGCTCCCAGCGCTGCGGCGCGCCGCCGGCGCCTCAGCGCAGGCCCGCGGCGGCGCGCAGCTGCCGCGCCAGCTCCCCCTGCAGGCCGCAGGCGAGCGCGCGGTGGGCGCGCGCGAAATCGCGGGCCTGCTCGGCGTCGGGCAGGCGGCGCACCTCGGCTTTCAGCCAGAGGCGCGTTTCAGCGCCCACTCGCCCCCCCGCCTCGAGGACGAACGGGGTGAGGCGCTCTCCGGGGTAGCGAGCGTGCTTGTCCCGCTCCCCGCGCCGGCTCGCCTCGCCGTCGCGGCGGGCCGCGACCCGCTGCTCCGCTGGGGTGCCCGCAGCGGGGTGTCGCACGGACACGTCCAGCCAGCGGCGGCCGTCCTCGCCCTGGCACTCCAGATCCAGAACGGCGCGCTCCGTCTCCCCGGCGTGGCCTGGCCGCGGCCTCTCCCAGAGCGGGACGCGCTGCTCGTAGAGCGGTTCCTCGTGCCTCCAGCGCCGGAGCAGCCCGCCGAGCCGCCTGGCCAGTCTGCCGTGCCTGCGCACCACCCCGCCTCCGTTCTGGCAGGTAACGTTGTGGTAGCCGAGGTCGTCCAGTGGCCGCCCGCAAACGTCGCCGCTGGCGCTCCGCAGGCAGCAGTGGGCCGTCGCCGCCGCGAGCTGGCCCCGGTCGCACTCCGGCCGCTGGAGGTGCAGCCGTAGGCGAGCTGCCGTCTCCCAGTCAGGCAGACAAACAGACACACAGTCAGGCAGGCAGGCAGGCAGGCAAACAGGCAGACAGACAGACAGACAGACTCGCGAGAACTGTGTGTCCACACATCAGAAACGTTAGCAAAAAGGCGCGCACAACCGCGCCAGCATGCACGTTGAACTGCCGCTGGCGCCCCACCCTGAGAGAGAGAGAGAGAGCCCTAATTCGGGCCAAGGCTAAGCGGCTTAACCCGAAGCGGGACTTCTCTCAGGGGGCGAGAACTGCACGCCTCCGAACCGACGCCCCGCCGGTGCGGCGCCTGCCCTGCACCGCCCTCCAGCTCCAGGCAACCGCCGCGCCGAGCAGGTCGCCGTCGCCCACAGGTCGCCACAGCGCGCCCAGACCAGCCGGCCCGAAGGAGCACCAGCGCCCAGCTGGTCTCGGGCCACGCCTCGGTCAGCAGCGGCGCCCAGCCTGGCCAGCAGCGACCGCCGACCTTGGGCCTGGCTGCCGCCGTCGCCCGAAACGCCGGCAAATCGCCTGCCGCGCCTGGCGTGCTGCCAGCGCCGCGGAGCCCGTTGCGCCGGCTGCGGGCCGCCAGCCGGCTTGCACCGCCGGAGGCACCTTCCGGAGCTGGCGCGCCGTGGCGGCCTGCCCTGCAGGCCGCAGCTGGGGACCCTGTATGGTCCCGCGTCGCTCCCGCCTGTGATGGTCATCGGGCACGCGCCACACCTGCCCGAGCAGCCAGAGGGGCGGGCCTGGGCGCCGAGCCGCACCCCCGCCTCAAGAACGAACGGCGCAGCTGGTCGCCAAAGTAGCAGGCGTGTTTGTCCCGCTCGCCGCGTCGACACGCCTCCCCGTCACGGCGCGCGGCCCCCGCAGCTCGGCCTGCGTGCCGGCTGCGGGGCGGCGGACGGAGACGCCCAGCCACCGGACCCCTTTGTCGCCACGTCTGAACGGCGGCGATCCCGGCTTGGCACCCTCTGCTCGAGGAGGGGCCGCTCGCCGCGCCAGCGCTGGAGGAGGCCGCCAACCCTCCAGTTCAGCCCTTCGTGGCGCGCCGCCACGCCCCCGCCCAGCTGAAAGGTCGGGGCATGGTAGCCGCCCTCGTCCATAGAGGAAAGAGAACTACGCACATACACCGGTTCTGGCCAGGCCCATCCTGAGCCCAGGATCGGTGCATACGCCCTCCTGCCTTGGCCAGGAAGGCATATGCACCGATCCTGGGTCAAGGATGGGCCTTGCCAGGATCGGTGCATGTGCGTAGTTCCCTTCGCCCGAGTCGTCCAGCGCCCCGTGACAGATGGCGCCGCTGGCGGCGCGCAGGCAGCAGGCGGCGGGCGCGGTCGCGAGCTCCTGCGGACGGAGGCCGGCGCGCGGGAGCTGCGGCCGCCGCGCCCCCTGTCTGCCACGGGGCGGCCTCGAGAAGTGCAGAACTCGTCCTCCGGGTAGCTCGAGGGGGGAGGGCGCCAAGAGGCCTCCTCCTCCTCCTCCTCGTCTGCCTCCTCCTCTGCCTCCTTCTCCTCCTCAATCTCCTCCTCCTCCTCCTCAATCTCCTCCTCCTCCTCCTCCTCCTCCTCCTCCTCCTCCTCCTCAACCTTCGCCTTGGTTCTCGTCCTCCTCCTCCTCCTCCTCCTCCTCCTCCTCCTCCTCCGCCGCTGCCGCTCCCAGCCGCGCCCCGCAGCTCGGCCCTTCTGGGGGGCGAGAGGGGCCGACGTCGCAGCAGAGGAGCTGCGCGCCGAGTCCGTTTGCGCCCTCGCCCCGGCAAAGACTCGCTTCAGCGGGGTCTGCAGCGCGGTCCCAGTTGGGAAGCTGGGCGAGGGCTGCTAAAACCGTGGCTGCCAAAACGGCCCTCCCGGAAGGAAAAAACAACCTCCCGGAATGAGGCGCGGCACGCGAACCAGTCAACGGGCTTCTTCTCGGAAGGACGAAGACAACTTCCCGGAGGTCGATTTTAGCAGCCACGGATTTAGCAGCCCTTGCCCGGCTTCCGACCCGGGTCCCCCCCCCCCGCGCGAGCTCCAGCCCCTGGCCCTGCAGTCCGCGCCGCGCCGTTTCCAGCTGCTGCGCCACCCACGGCAGCCGTTCCAGGCAGACAGACAGACAGACAGACAAACAGACAGACAGACAGGCAGGCAGGCAGACAGGCAGACAGACAGTCAGACCGACTGACAGACAGACAGACAGACAGACAGACAGACAGACCGACAGACAGACCGACAGACAGACAGACAGACAGACCGACCGACCGACAGACGGACAGATGAGAAAGACAGAGACAGAGACAGAGCGAGAGAGAGAGACAGAGAGAGAGAGAGACAAAGAGAGAGAGAGAGAGACAAAGAGAGAGAGAGAGAGAGCGAGCGCTGAGAGGTGGCATCGATAGCAGCGGCCTCGTTCGTCGCAAAGCCAGCGACGTCCTGCGAGGGCCCCGGCCCCGGCCCGAGGGGGGGGGAGGAGGACGGCGGCGGAGAGCGGAGAGCAGAGGAAGGAGAAGATGGGGCGAGATAAGGACAGAGGACAGAGAACTATGCACACACACACACACACACCGATGCTGGCCAGGCCCATCCTGAGCCCAGGATCGGTGCATACGCCCTCTTACCTTGGCCAGGAAGGCATACAGTCGGGGCGTTGACCTGAGGAACCCCAAAGAAGGAACGAGGCCCCCTTTTCCCATAAGTCCAACCTCAATTTCCCGTGGGAAACCTCAGGAAAGCCCGAGGCAAACTTTGAAACATTCAAGGAACACCGAGCCCCCCCCCCAACGAAAAGGGTTCCTTCTTCAGCGCCCCGACTGTATGCACCGATCCTGGGTCAAGGATGGGCCTTGCCAGCATCGGTGCATGTGCATAGTTCTCTTCGCCCGATGAGGAAGAGGATCGGCGGCGCGCCCGGGGGGGAAGTGACCCGGCGGTGGACAAACCCTCCCGGCTGCCCGGAGGCACCCCTGGTCGAGGGCGGGCGCCCCCCGTCGTGCAGCCCCGAGATGGACAAACCTCCCTTTGGTAAACCTCCCCATCGCGGGGGGGGCGCCACTTCCCTTCGCGGGGGGGCGCCACTTTCCGCTCCACACGATCTTCGGCTTTGGTAGACCTCCCCTTAGTAAAACGGCCTGGGACCGAAACCGACGGACCTGGACCCGCAGAAAGGACGGCCGCGGCGCCCTCTCGCGAACCGGAAACGGCCAATTCCTTGATCGACGCGTCGGGGTAGGAGGTCTGTCCACCCCCGAGTGACGGGGGCAGGCCTAACGGAGGGGGGATGTGACCTAGGCGCTCCACGTGGTACCAGAGGCTGGCCAGGCACTGCAAGCTCCCGTCCGAGAACAACGAAAAATCACGAGGCCGAGTGCGATCGGCACCAATTGCAGCGTGAGCCTTGAAGGTCCTGGCAACAGCACGGATGCCTGCAGGAGAGGCCTGGGGGCGAGGAGCTTCTTAAGACGAGAGGACGACCTGGGTGAGGTACTGGAAGGGGACAGGCAGGTTCGAAACATGCGTCGCAGGGGTCCAACCTTCTTCCACTCCTCCTCCAGGTTGATAATCTGCTGCTCTAGGCTGGGTGGGGGGCCGCCAGTGGGGTTCCCGGGGGTGAACCCACAGGACTTCTTAGTAAAGCGGTGGGCGAGACCTCCTCCACCTTCGGGCGATTTGGCTACCCAAGTCCGCCACTGCTTGGCCCTCTTGGTGCGGAACCTGCGCTCGAACAGTTCGGCCTAACGCTTCGCCGCGGCCGAAAACTGGAGCAGAGTGTTAATATCTATGCTGGGCAGGTGAAAGTTGGCGCGAAAGTACTTCCACTCTGGGTTCTCGAGAGGCGTGTTGGGACCCGAGGCCAACTTGGTGTCCAAAGGGAGGATCTCTGGGTGGTCCTTGGGGTGGCCCTTACGCAGCTGGAAGGCGAGCTCCAAAAAACAGGCCGCCGCCTTCCTCCACCCACGGCCTTCAGGGCATGAAACAGGGTAATCGCCTCCAGATGTCCTGACAGCAGGGACTGACCGGAGCTTCAGGCACGAGATGCGCCCAGAGTGCGTTGGGTCCTTGGCCTCGATCCTATGGGCCCCTTGAGCTCCATTTCGAGGAGCGTGCAGGACTCCCGATAAGCCAAATCCAGATCTTGCGTGGCAACCAGAGACCCGTCCAGGATAGCGCTACATGGGGCCAACGACGGCGGAGCAGGGAAGGGCCCAAGAGGGTGCTCCTTGGGGAAGGTCTTGGGGCCTTCCCGAACATTGATCTTGGCCGCCAATGGGTTACCCTCGAGCTCCAGAATCACAGCGAAATCAGGTGAGATGGTGCGAGCGTCGTTGCGGTCTCCTCCTCCTCCTCCTCCTCCTCCTCCTCCTCATCATCATCATCATCCTCATCCTCATCATCATCATCATCATCATCATCATCATCATCATCATCATCATCATCATCATCATCATCATCATCATCATCATCATCATCATCACCATCATCATCATCATCATCATCATCATCATCATCATCATCATCATCATCACCATCACCATCACCATCACCATCACCATCACCATCACCATCATCCATCATCATCATCATCATCATCATCATCACCATCACCATCATCATCACCATCATCATCATCCATCATCATCATCATCATCAGCATCAGCATCAGCATCAGCAGCATCAGCATCATCATCATCATCATCAGCATCATCATCATCATCATCATCAGCAGCAGCAGCATCAGCATCAGCATCATCACCATCATTATCATCATTAGCAGCAGCAGCAACATCAGCATCAGCATCGCCATCACCATGACCATGATCACCATCATCATCGACATCAGCATCACCATCATCATCATCATCATCATCATCATCATCATCATCATCATCATCATCATCATCATCACCAGTATCATCGTCATCATCAGCATCAGCATCAGCATCATCATCAGCAGCATCAGCATCCCCATCATCATCAGCAGCACCATAAGCAGCAGCATCATCATCAGTGCCAACATCACTATTACCACAATATTCATCATCATCATCATCATCATCATCAGCATCAGCAGCATCATCATCATCAGCATCATCGTCATCATCATCATCATCATCATCATCACCATCATCGTATCCTCGTCATCATCAGCAGCATCAGCATCGCCATCATCAGCGACAGCGTCTGTATCATCATCATCATCATCATCATCATCATCAGCATCATCATAATCCCCATCATCATCTTAATCGCCATCATCTTCATCAATAGCAGCATCATCATAATCATCAATATCAGCAGCAGCATCACCATCATCA